TGGCTGAATGGCTGGCTGGTGGGTGTGTGTGTGTGGGTGTGTGTGGGTGTGTGTGGGTGTGTCTGGTTTTTGGTAATTAGGTTGTTTTTTGGAGCACACAACTATCCGTCACCCCCCCCACCCAGAAACAAGATAACTTTATTTAGGGGGCTATTAATCAGTGCCGGCCCGCAACATAACTTTAATCGGGGGTATTAATCATAGGTCGACATTACTGAGCAATTTACTAGCAGAGCATGGGCGGTACTGACAGACAGTGTTCTGCGAGCATTCCTGCAGCGTTCCTCATTTTGTGTTGCTGGCGATGCTCGGGGTGATGCTGGTGTCATAAATGCTTGGAAAAAACTGTAGTCAGACCCAACGTGTCCCGACTACAGTTTTTTCCATCATTTTGTTAGGGGAGTGTTGCTGGCATGCTCAGGGTGATGCTGGTGATGCTGGTGTTGCTGGCGCTGGGGCCTCATAAATGCTTGGAAAAAACTGTAGTCGGGCCCAACGTGTCCCGACTACAGTTTTTCCATCATTGTTTTAAGGGAATGTTGCTGGCAATGCTCCAGGCTCCAAGTACCCTCAAGTGCACCCCAGGCTCCAAGTACACTCCCAGTCCTGCAAGTACACTCCCAGTACACTCTACACTCCCAGTACAATACACTCCAGGCACACTCCAAGTACACTCCCAGTACACTCCCGGTCCCCCAGTGCACTCCAAGTACACTCCCAGTAAACTCCGGGTACACTCCAAGTACATTCCCAGTACACTCCCAGTACACTCCAAGTCCACTCCCAGTGCACTCCAGGTACACTCCCAGTACACTCCAGGTGTACTCCAAGTAGACTCCAAGTACACTCCCAGTACACTCCACATACTCTCAGATCACACTCCAAGTACACTCTCAGTACACTCCAACTGCACTCCCAGTATCAGGGTACACTCCAAGTACACTCCAGGTACACTCCCAGTACACTCCAAGTACACTGCCAGTACACTCCCAGCACACGAGTACACTCCAGATACACTCCCAGTGCCAGGTACACTCCCAGTACACTCCAAGTAAGCCCAGTACACTCCAGGCGCACGCAAAGTACACTCCCACTACACTCCAGGTACACTCCCAGAACACTCCAAGTACACTCCAGGTACACTCCCAGAACACTCCGGGTACACTCCAGGCACACTCCAAGTACACTCCCAGTATACTCCAAGTACACTCCCAGTACACTCCAGGTACACTCCGTACACTCCGGGTGCACTCCAAATACATTCCAGGTACACTCCCAGCACACTCCAAATACACACTCGGACTGCCCTGGGGCTGGGGCAGGTCCTGGTTTTGTTTCGGGTTTTTCTGGGTGTGAGTAGGAGGGGGTCGGCGGATTTGTGTGCTTGCGCGTGCGTGTTTGGCTTGGCAAGTTCAAACAGCTCCTCAAGCTACGAAACTCTACAAATGCCTGGGACTGTGCAGCGTAGCGCTGGTGCTGCGCGTGCGTGTGTGTGTGTGTTCAATTACATTGCCAAGGCACTCAACAGCGCACTCAAGCACACGCAAACACACGCAAGTACACGCAAGTACACGCAAAAGGCTGCAAAATCCTGCCGGATACACGCAAGTACACGCAGGTACCGGCAGCGTGCTGTCACTGTCTTTACACAGTACTGGGAGTGTGTGCTGGCAGAGCACGGTGCGCTGGAAGATAGTGCGCTGCATGCCTGGAGTGTACTGGGACCTGGAGTGTACTTGGAAGTGGAGTGCACCTGTGCTGGGAGTGTATTTGGAGTATACTGGGAGTGTACCCGGAGTGTACTGGGAGTGGACTGGAGTGTACTGGGAGTGTACCTGGAGTGCACTTGGAGTGTACCCCGAATTGTACTGGGAGTGTACTTGGAGTGAACTGGGAGTGTACTTGGAGTGTACTCGGAATGTACTTGGAGTGTACTTCGAGTGCACCTGGAGTGTACTGGGAGTGTACCCGGAGTGTATTCGGAGCGTACCCCTGGAGTGTACTGGGAGTGTACTTGGAGTGGTGTGCCTACTGCACTGCGAGTGTACTTGGAGTGTATGTGGAGTGTACTGGGAGTGTATTTGTACCTGGAGTGTACTTGAGTGTACTGGGAGTGTGGGGTTCTTGGAGTGTACCTTGTACCTGGAGTGTGCTGGGAGAATGCCTGGAGTGCTTGGAGTGATGTTCGAGTGCAACCTGGAGTGTGCTGGGAGTGTTCTTGGAGTGTGCCTGGAGTGTACTGCAAGTATTCCCCGATTTGTACTGGGAGTGTACTGGGTACTTGGAGTGTGCTGGCTGGGAGTGTACTTGGAGTGTACTTGGAGTGTACTGGAGTGTACCTGGAGTGTACTGTGAGTGTACTTGGAGTGTGCCTGGAGTGTACTGGAGTGTACCGGAGTGTACTGGGCTTGGAGTGTACCAGGAGTGTACCTGCTGGGAGTGTAGTTAGCTGGAGTGTACTGGGAGTACCTGGAGTGTGTACTGGGAGTGTACCGGGAGTGTACTTGGAGTATACCCGGAGTGTACTGGGTGTACACTTGGAGTGCACTGGGGTGTAGTTGGAGTGTACCGGGAGTGTACTGGGAGTGTACTTGGAGTGTGCCTGGAGTGTGTTGTCCTGGGAGTGCACTGTGACTGCTTGAGTGCACTTGGAGTGTTTCTGGTGCCTGGGTGTGCTAGTCACCCAAAGTGTACTGGGAGTGTACTTGCAGTGCACTGGGAGTGCACTTGGAGCCTGGAGTGCACTTGAGGGTACTCGGAGCCTGGAGTGACTCAAAGCATTGTCGGGACACGTTCCAAGCATTTATGAGGCCCCCAGCGCCAGCAACACCAGCATCACCCTGAGCATCAGCATCGCCAGCAACACTCCCCTAAAAAAATGATGGAAAAACTGTAGTCGGGACACATTGGGCCCGACTACAGTTTTTTCCAAGCATTTTGAGGCCCCAGCGCCAGCAACACCCCCAGCATCACCAGCATCACATCGCCAGCAACACTCCCCTAAAACATTAGGAACACTCCAGGAATGCTCGCAGTACACTGTCTGTCAGTACCGCCAATACTCTGCTAGTAAATTGGTTTCGAATAAGACCAATTTCAATTGAAGCACGCTGGCTTACAAGAAATCTTGCAGTAATGTTGACCTATGATTAGTAACCCCCCGACTAAAGTTATGATGTGGGCCGGCACTGATTAATAACCCCCCCTAAATAAAGCTATCATGTTTCTGGGTGGGGGGGGTGAGGGATAGTTGTGTGCTCCAAAAACAACCTAATTACCCAAAACCACACACACCCACACACACACACCCACCAGCCAGCCATTCAGCCAGCCAGCCCCCTCAAAAAATGATCATCAATTCTCTTTGTGGCAGGCGCAATCTTTAAGATGTATGTCCCTTGAATTGAAGCTTGCCCCCTATGATCTCAAACATCTAGCTTTTGGAATATACAAAAAAACTCCCAGCTCCCAAACTGCAAATTCTTCACATGCTCTTGTTTAAAAAGTGGCCCCTAATCAACCCCACAAAAGGTGTAGCACTTGGGGTTGGACAAGAACATTATTTAGGGGGCCCCCCTAAATACAGATTCCTGGCTCTCCCCTCCCAAAGAATCATCCAATCAAATCCCAACTCCTATTTGAGAAGGCTTTCTTTGTAAAAGGCCCACTGATTGAAATGTATGTCCCTTGAAGCTTGCCCCCTACGATCTCAAACATTTGGCTTTTGGAATCCAAAACAACTACCAGCTCCGAAACTGCAAATTCTTTACACGCGCTTGTTTAAACAGTGGCTCCTCATCAACCCTACAAAGGGGTTGGAAAAAATCATTATGTAGGGGTCCCACCAAAAAAAGGAGGGCAATACTAAATCAATTCCACCAATACTAAACCAATTGGAACCTCAAATCAAATCTCAAAAGGAGGCTCCAGCAATACTAAATCAATTGGAAACTCAAATCCACCAATACTAAACCAATTGGAACCTCAAATCAAATCTCAAAAGGAGGCTCCAGCAATACTAAATCAATTGGAAACTCAAATCCACCAATACTAAACCAATTGGAACCTCAAATCAAATCTCAAAAGGAGGCTCCAGCAATACTAAATCAATTGGAAACTCAAATCCACCAATACTAAACCAATTGGAATCAAATCAAATCTCAAAAGGAGGCTCCAGCAATACTAAATCAATTGGAAACTAAAATCCACCGGCTCCAGCAATACTAAATCAATTGAACACAAAAATATTTGTGCAATACTTAGCAATTCATAATCAAGTTGGGAGGCCTATTTGGGGAGGGAAGTAGTTAAGGGGGGGGGGGTTATTAACCAGAGGCAGACTTTCGGCTAACCAGTGCGTTCGTTGAGCGCTGCCGAACGTAGCCATTCGTAGCCGAACGATTTGCGCTGCCAAATATCATTGGCGGAAGGCTTGGCAAACTTAGCACCAAAAAAAGCCCGCTGCTTCAGTTTTAAACGTTGCTCATAAGCAAGTTGGCGCGCGACGCGTTCTGGACTCGGGCGCTTTCTGGGCAGCAGCACCAGCCCGAATTTGTTGGACTCTTCTCGGAAACACTTCTCTTGAACCACCGGCCTGTAAACGCGGACGAGCAACATGTTTCGGTGAACGGGTAACGCTGTTTTTCGCTCCTTGGCAAAACGGTCCTAATGCACTTGATGTGAATTCGCGCAAACAAGCTGAGTTGAATGAGGGACATCGCTTGAAAAAAGGTTGGTCGTGTCCACACACGTGCCCCGCAAAATTGCCGCGCACGGCCAGGGCCAAGGGCCAGTCTGAGAATTGCCACGCATTTGGTGGGACTTTATTGGTCTGAAGTACTTTTTGGATTGCTGCTGCATCTGCGCAAACGGGCGGCACGGTCATGATTGACAACATGGTGCGTCAGTCGGAACGCCCTGTCAAAGCGCCAGTATGCGTGCTGCGAGGTTGCTTTGCCCGTGCGCCTGAGTCGCTGTGTAGGATCAGCGCGGTGGCCAATTTAACTGACAAGGCGGTCCCTGCGCTGGGAGCAGAACCACGGGTGAGCAGCATCAAGCCGAACGAGCAGAACGCAGCCGGAAACAGCATCTTCTGCCGGATAGCCCTGCTTCTGGAGCAGAATCTGGCCGGATGGCAAAAAGCAGCCGGATGAGCAGGATCTGGCCGGATAGAATTTCGCAGCCGGATAACCCGCCCTGGATGCTTATCATGCGATCGGCAACGATCTTGACGCGTTGGCCAAGCTCGGTCACGATGTCCTTACTCCCTTGTGATAGCTGCATGGCCGCGTTCGCAGCCTGCGTACACGTGCTACTCACATGGACACATTGTTCGTATTTGGCCCTCCATGAGTCGACCTCAGTGGAGAGCTGCTTGATGCATTGATCACTTCTATCATTCCTACGCCCAAGGTCTTCGACCTTAGCAACCAGGCGATGAATGATCGCACTTACCGAAGAATCCACCGTCCCTCTTTCAAGGGCTGTCACAAGATCAGCAACCTCGTTGGGTTGCTCCTCACTCGCAGGACCATATCCTGATCCGCGATCTCGAGGAGTGGACAAATCGACCATGATTGGATTAGATCTCGGAGGAGTTCTGAAATCATCCTGGACGGCCGTTGATGGCCGTGGGAACTCACTCCGATTAGGAGATTGACTCTGATACGGAGCAGACCTTCTTGCATCACGAACCGCAGAGGGTTGTGTCATGCCCAGGCCTTTGGCAACGGACAGCTTAGGAACAACAGGCCTATCCGTTCGCATAGGAACATCAGGTCTCGAGTCAGCAATAACAATGTCATTCAAGTCGGTCGCATTGGACACCCTAGACTCAGACATCGATTCAATATCAGTTCCATTACTGATGGTATGATTGCGACTAGAACTTGATGCCATCATGGACTCAGATTCTATCGGAACATTAGCTCCGTCCATATTGTCCAGAGCGAAAATGGAAGCCGCGTTGGGCGTAGGGTGAACACTTCGCGCGTTCAAGCCACTAGACCTATTAAATTCCTCCTGGAATGCCTCGATCCCATCAAGCACGTTAACAAGTGTGTCCGCGTTTAACGGGTCTCTTCCAATGATTGACGCTGGGTCACCTGATCGGCCGCGTCCTGAGTCCCGCGCACTGGGGTTACCCCTGTGAGCAGTTTCCCGATCCATCCCCCTTGCCCTATGCGATCCAGTCGAATTTGACCTCGATCGTTTGCTTGGGGTTGGACTGGGATGCAAATCCAATCTATCTACGATATTACGCTCCCTAGGGCTCTCAAATCCCGAAAGTCCCGGGGGAGGAGACATGTTCCTCATGGTCGGGTTTACCGACGGTCTTGGCCTGACGTTACGGCTGGCCACATCAGGATTGAGATTCTCAATCGACAAAGGTAGCATGAATTCATCACTTCCAGCAGCTCGTTTTGGGCTTTGGAAATGCGGGAAAGATGACGGGGCGGGTGGCCCTGGCATCCATACGGCAAAATCCATACCAAAAATGTTTCCGTCGTTGGGCCATGAGGCTCTCCAATCGAGCCCACCGGATTCGGTCGGCAGATGAACATCGAATGCAACTCCACTGGATGTACCAGGTTCGGGATTACCGAGCGCTTGAAAAACTATACTGCTGGTTGGCACAGGTCTACTGCCACTTCGAGAGTCACGAAACTCGGACTGACCAATATTCATCAGCTCCGGGAAAGATGAGGATTGAGCTCCAGGTGCAATACCGGGCTCGTCATCATCACGTCCTGAGACGGAATCATCATGGTCAGGACGATTAGCCCCATGACCCTGAGAGCGATTAGCTCTTGAGGCATTAGACGATAGCTCATCAGTGCGAGTAGCACTGGATCTTCCTGAAGGCATTGCTTCTGAAAAAGAGTGGTCCGACAAAAAGTCAGGGCCGGAAAACATCGGCTGTCCGGGCACTTGGTCGTCATTCACAACGTCCAAGATTCCGGCCTGGCCGAGAACCCATTCGTCGGTCACCACATGAGGTCCGTCCTCAGTGACTCCCGACATGACGCCTACAGAGACCTACGGTACCTGCAGGGTTGTTATTAAAAGGGGTTCGCGGTGCCAACCGAGGACGAATCCTACGGCTGATAACCTGCGAAAGGGTTTGAAACAGAGTTTCGGGAGAGAATAAACAGGCCCAATCCCACCAACAAGAAGAGATTGTTTAAGTCCCCCAGTCCCAAGGGCAAAGCAGTGCCCCCGGCTGGCACAACCAACGAACCAAAACAGGGTGCCTTTAACCAAAAGATGAATGAACCCAGCAAGGGCAGAGACAACCGAAAGCAAGCACAAAGCAGCAAACCAAGCAGGCAAACAATGCAGCGAAGCAAGCAAAGCAAACCAATGCAAACTGTCAACCCACCAGCCTGACCCACAACCAGAGCAACCACGACCACTGCCTGCCCAACCGCGCGTTTTGTACTCGCACAGGTGGACGGCGTGTGCCGCCGAGGAAGCTCCGACGTTATGGCGGGCCGGAGTTGCCACAGTTAAAAGCTTGAGCCAAATGGCGCATTGGCCATGGCAATAATCAAACATGCTATGATAAACGTACATGCCCCCAAAAGCCATTTGCTTCCAAACCCTTGCACGGACCCTGATTATTTAAAAAGGACCAGTTTCCTCTAAAAGAGACAGACCCCTTTGGTTCCAGCATGGAGAGTAGCAAAAAACCGCCAGAGCCTAAGCCAACGGCAGTGCAGCAGAGTCTGGCTGCCGACCGCTCGCACCTCGAGGCGCCCGGAACCTTCGAGGGCATCGTCCCCGCTGTACTGCAGGCATCCTTTGGACCCGAAGATCCTCAAAAAACGGGACACGAATCACTGGGAGCGTGGAGTGGCCCAAGGAAACGGACTTGTTGTATACCACTAAAATGGGCCAAACTTATATACCACTAAAATGGGCCACAGACAAACAACATCAATAAAAGTCCAGGGACTCAGAAAGTGGATGTTTCAAATTTGGATGCTTCTCAAAGTGGTCCCTTAAAGTGATTGGGTTCCTTTTTGCCTTTTCAAACGCCGACCAAGAAACCGGCCAAAATCCCAAAACCCCAGCTGACGGTTGGTTCTGTATGGCGAGCAAGTATAGGCCTTTCTATACGCTTGGGGTATTGGACAGAAGGAGGGGGGAACAATATGCGTGGGAGGGTGCCGCATTGTTATACCTGTCCTACAGTAAAAAACGGACCCCCCAAAAAGCATATTTGGGTGCTTTGGGTCTTGTATGCCAAAAATGTTCAGAATCCTTGTCAAAGTTTTGGCGTCCGAGTCCGAGCCTTCTTGGATGCTATGAAAGTGGGATCACTGGGGGTCACTGACTTGCCATACGTTCTTCCGAATAACAACCAAAAGAGAAACCAAAAGAGAAACCCACCATTTGGCAATGCCTTTTGACGCACCGGAGATACCGCTCTCCAGCCGTAGGAAGTTCTGTTGCCAGGCAGTTGCTTCCAGCAGTACTCAATTCCCTGACACGTTTCAGCACCAGTGCAAACCGAGCAGCTTGTTCTCAATCTGCTTGCCTGCCAAGCAAGATCTGATGCCAAACGTATCTCGCGTTGCCTAAGTGCAAACAAGCCAAAACACCAGTTAGTGGTTGGGTTCCTTTTTGCCAAAACCACCAGCAAGATCATTGCTTTTCAACAACCGCCTGTTGACAAAGGAAACTCATGAGCTCACTGTCGGGCGGTCCGCTTTACGCGGCTGCTCCCAACAAACCTTGGCTCGTGAATCATAATCAACGCCTGCTACTGAAGGGGTCAACCCAACAACATGTGAGTCGCAATCAAAACCCGGTACTAAAATGGTCTACCCAGAACCATGTACAGGATTCCGCAGCTATTTATGGTTGGGATCCTCCCTTACTAACCTTCATCTACCCGGGTTTTGATTGTGGCTCATGTAAACAATCAAGAGCAGCCTACTTCTGGCTGGGATTGCTCTGTACTACCCTTCTGCCCAGGCTTTGATTGTGTACGAGATGCAAGGCTGTATTGGCAATGTTAAAACAAATCAACTCTGATTTTGATCTTGATCAGGAGATGCCCTGCCGAACGAACACAACACTGATACGTTGTTCGTGAAAAATCACTTCATGGACATCATGGACCTGCGGGGATATGGGGTGGGGGCTGTCACTGGACTTCTCACACAAGTTGATCAACTTGCGTGTGTGCATTGAAACGATCGCCACTTTTGGAGGTTGGGCCTTCAGGGTTCCGGGGGTCCCCCCCTTCCCAGTTCCCCCTCCCCCCCGTTGCTTAGAGGTGCATAACAACCCCACAACGACATAAACCTAAGGACTCAAAAGTGCTTTGAGCACTCTCCAGGGAACCAGGGTATGCGACCACTTTGTCGCCTTTTCGCTTGCTTTGTAATCTTCCCTAGGATGTGTAACCCTCTGTTCTTGTGGATCCAATCGCTTACCTACGGGCTTGCGTTCCAGAGGAAATCACAACATCCTCGGATTCACCTCGCACCATTGGGATTCCATGGACTTGATCCAGAAATGGGATCTCCTGTGGAGGTATTGGCTTGAGGCAAGATTCAGATCTCGGTCATAGTCCCCTTCATATCCCCACCCCGGAACAGGAAATGAGGGCCCGCGGCCCAGGTTCTGCGGACTCTTCCAATTACCAATCAAGCATACGGATGAAAAAAGGAGGCCCCTTACAGAACCCCCTCTCACAAATCCGTGGCTAGAAGCCTTTTCATTGTCCAACTTCCCTGTGGTTGAGGTCTTGGGTCGTTCCACGCAGCAAACCTCAAAATGGCCAGGTCTAAAGGAGCAACAAAAAACACCTGGAAAACCCGACATCAAAGCAGAGTGGCTTGACACCATACATTTACTTGGTTGCTTTCTGCTCCCCTGCTAAACGTTTCACTTTTCGTGGTTTGATGGAAAACCCATTAGTTGGCAAAAAGTTCTCAAGTCCTAACATCCAAGCAACATGCACCAAAGCTTATCTCAGCTTTTCCAATGTGTTTGACTCTGATCCATATTAGCGAACCTCATTTGCTTCTCGGGTAGAAAGACCTAGCCGGACCATGAAGTTGGGGCGGATTGATCCTCCCGTTAGACCTCGCATGCTGTGTTGCCGCCAAAGAGTTATGTACCTGGAGGTAGTTGGACCCTCAAAATGATTGGCCTTTTGTTTTCCCTTAACCTTAAAACGGGTACCTGGCAAAAACCACTCACCCAAAGCTGGCCCCATGATCTTATCATGATCACAGTCACCCCCGTTCAGTGATAAGAGGGGAACAAAACCGACTTTGCGACTTTCCACATCCCCACAGAAAAGCCCTCCCCCAAAAAAACAAAAAACATGGCAGAACCCCTCCCCAAAAAAAACAAAAAACATGGCAGAACCCCCCCCCCAAAAAAAAAAAAAACATGGCCCCAGCAAGGGGAAGCCACGAGAACCATCCAAACCTCGACCCACTCGGTTCGAGTCTCGCGCCTTTCTGGGCGCCGGCCACCGCGTTGCCGCCCGGCAACCCAGCGAGGCCCTCGCAGGTGATCCTCGGGTCGCTCTCGGATCGATCGGGGTCAGGCAACCGCTGGAAGGGACCAACTCATCCGCTGGTAACGTTGAAACCAATGCAATGAGGCCATTGGAGGGAACGAAAACCAAAGGCGCAAGTCGGTCAAAGAGCAGCCATGAAAACGCCTGGAAAGATGGCCTTCGGGATTCGGATCGGATCCACAAAAGCCCAGATGGCCTACAGCAAGTCAAGGGGGATGGGGAGCAAGTGCAACTTCGTGTGGGGCTCACATTATACATGTTCAGGGTTGGTTCAGGGGTTGGTTTGCGGTGGGTTTCGGGTGGGTTTGGGGTTTGGGCTGATTTAGGCTTAGGGTTGGGGTTAAGGAGGGGTTGCAGGGTGGTTTGGTTTAGGGTAGGATGTTGCGAGAGGTGCGGGGGTGTTGGTTCACGGGGTGAAAGGGGGAGTCTGGGACCGAAGCTGCAGGGCTCACACGGTACTGGACAGCATCCCCAGCATTGCAAGCATCATCCCCAAGATGCGGATGATGCGGGGGAGTGGGGGGTACGTGGCCCAGGGACTGGTACATATATATATATATAGATATATATATATATATATATAATATATATATATATATAGTGTGTAGGTGTGTGCTCGTTGAGGAACACTTTGTGGGGGGTAGTTTAAAGGGAAACCAAAAGCAACATGTGAAAGTAAGAACTGGACCCCCCCACGAAAGGCAACATGTCCTGTGTTCCCCTTTCGAGACAATTCACCAAGCGGCCCGTACTCAACGGACCATCTGCGCTTTATCATCTACATGTACAAATACTCAACGCGCTTCATACCTGCAAGGTCTTCAAGAATTGACAAGTCATTGGTGCGTTCTGGAGTTCTGGACCCGAACTGGGAGTTTATCAAAATGGCAGACCCCTTCTTGGTTGGTACTAGAAAGTAATTAAAGGTGGTTCATGAATTTGAGCATGGCTCAGAGTCGCCAATTGAGGTGAGCCGGAATGTTCAAACTGTTTGCTGGTAAGGGAAAACCAAAAACTCAAAGCAACATTCGGACGCAAAAAGGTGACTTAAGTCTGGCAAAAACAAAAAACTTCGACGCCAAGCCGCGTGGCTCCATTGGTGCACTGAATGATCGCAGAGGTAAAGATGTCAGCGCCCGTGGACTTTGAGCGCACCATCTTGCAGAACACGCTTTCTGGGCTCAAGCCGGCCACCCAGTACACCTCAGACGAGATCCGACCCCCGGCCAAAAGATAACCTGTTTGTTTGTTGAAAGGGAACAAGTAAACCAACTTGGCGTCATGGAGGGCGAAGCTGCAAGAAGTGTTCAATTAAGGCTACGGTCAACATTCATGTGCGATTGTGTGCCAAAACATTGGATTCCTTCCTGCAATTTAAGCATGGAACCCACAAACACCATGATTTGTTGAACCCCCTTGTTAGGTTCCATGTTGATATACGGGGAAGCATGGTGAGGAATATGATCTGGTCGGAACTTGGTTGTGTCCAATGCCGGTCGCTCCGAGTGAAGACTTGCGCTTCTTTCTGGGGGAAGAAAGCGCATCAACTGGATCCCTTCCATGTGCTGAACCCCCCCTGGAGAAATATATATATATATATAAACGAGGCCAGTAGTGGTATACATTAAAACCAACAGGACAAAGATTAAAACACATATTCTTCAGCAACTGGACGGCCGGGAGGCTTTCGAACAGACCGGCGAGATGGAAGTCAAGGCGCCCATGCCAGCGTGTGGCAGGATTGACCCCAAGCAAACCTCAGCACCGTGAGGTCTCTGATGTTTTTGTTGGTTGTTTGATTCCCCACGAAGCCCTAGGTATTTTTGTTTCTCACCAAATAAAAGAAGGGGGGGACCGATGATGAGAATTGAACCATCGGTGGTTACATTAGCCCCAGTTGTTCAATGGTGGCACCTGAATCTCCTCAAAGCAACACAACCCCAAATATATGGGCAAACTACCTAACTTATGGAGCCATTGTTCTCAACGGTTCCATGCGAGGTTTGGGAAAAGGTATGTATTCTGCTGAAATTCTAATGAGCTCGCCTCACCCCAAGCGACCTCGCTACGAACCATCTGAGAATACCCTTGCAAGAACCGCATCCCCCAGCGAACAACCCCCCAAGAGTACAGTTTAAAATTGAAGTTTGGAAGAAACTTTCGCGGTATAGCAACTATTTGAAAGCTGCTCTCTGACAGAAGACAAGAGAAGGACAAGCAGGAACGAACAAAAATGGCAGCTTGCTTTAGACCCCAGTGCCCATGGGGAAACAAGGGCGGCCCTTTGTGATAGTTGATTTTCGTGGGAACCCCCCTTCCGAAAAGAAAAAAAGCAAGAAACAGGGAGAAATGGCACCGCTGGGTGTCTCAGTGTCTTACCCGCTACTCCAAATGCCCTCTTCTCTGGGTATTTTTTGAAAAAACCTGCATTTTTTAATGGTGAATGCCTCCATTTTTAATAGAGGGTTGACCACATACCCTCAAACAAAGAGCGGGTATTCGGAGGTTACGGGAGTACACCTCCCGCAAGCAGACCCCGTAGCTTCAGGCGCTTCGAGTCAAGCCGCCCATTGCCATGTTCACTGCCCTCAGACGCGCTCACCCACAAACGGTTCTTCTCGTCCTCGAAGAACTCCCTCTCCCGCAGCATGCTGCCTCAGCATACTAAAAATTGGACCAACCCAAGAAGTCCATTTCGGGATGTCCTGTTGGTTTCCCATTAAAACATAAAACAAGGTGCCAACTCAAACAATGACGCTCCTCTTGGGGACACCCTTGGGGCCAGGGAACGGCTCAGATATGTGGTCCAGCATGCAATGTTTGGGAGACGGAAAAGATGTCAAGCCGCAGTGTTCTTTCTCGTGTCCTTTCAAGGCCCAGCCGAATCCTGTTGACACAGTCTCTGGCCCGTCCCATTTCAGCGGGGATCTGCTTCACTTTTCTCGGGATCCGCCCCGCAATCCATTCTGTCAGTTCCGGGCATGATTCCACTTGGCCCCAGGGTGGACTTGAACTTTGAACCCCAGGGCTAACTTGTTTAACCAAAAAGGGGAACCGGGATTGCGTCCACCAAAAAAGAGGAGTCCTTTAACGCAAAAACGCGCATGGGATCGCACTCCACTTCCTGGAACGATGGAGTCTGGGCAACGGATTCTTGGGAAGTACCCCTCTCAACGTGACTCCGGGGAAAAAAAAAAGTTGGTCCCCGGCCCCTTGGACCCCGGCCGGGCCTTGAACCAAAGGCCTCGAGACTTTGAGCCGCTTTGAGCTCTTGTGTTCCTGAGGCTCCATTTTTTTGAAGGGATGGGCTGGCATTTCGCGCAAAACGCCAAACCAAAATGGACCACGTCTCTCCTCGACGCAACTGGCGGCCTCCCAACTGGCCTCCCAACTGCCCCCCTTAGGGCTCCAAGAGACGGCCAAAATCGAGTGTTCAACATCTCTGGAAGATGAAATGCCGGTGATATCTGATGAACATCGTCACAAGTGGAAACCCAAAAGTCATTGCTATGGTTGTTTGCGGATTCTGGGTTGTGGGGTCATGGCGAGTCAACTCTTACACCTCGTCATTACGAACCACAGTTTGCAGTCTTAGCCAGACTCATGACTCCTCCGCCCAAAGAGTTTTCACACCATGTTCAAAGCGGAATATCGGAGTTTCCAACGGGCTTCCAGCTTTTGCTTGTTGCGAGTTAAGCTTGTAACGGGTCCAAGCCACTCCGGCCATCCCGGAAGGCACCCGGGACCCCAAGGAACTCCGCTGACGACTCGCCAGGTGGCAAGTGACATGCTCCACCTCTCCGATGCGGCCGCTTTGGATGAGCTCCCGCACTCTGAGCGCCTCGGGCCTGAAGTTCGCCGAGTGGTTCCTCGGGCTGGCTCGAAGTCGGGATCTCGGATCACAATCCTTCAAACTAACAGCCGGAAGCTCCCATTGCCCAGTGGATTTTATTTCCATGGGAAAAGCAAAGGATCGGCACCCTGTTTTTTGTTGGTTGAGTTTAAAGGAATCGGAACCCTGACCCAAAGAAGGTTGAACAAAGGAAGCAACCCATTGGGCAGCAGAGTCCCAGAAGGCCACCGCGCATGGGAGCAAGTCTTCCCAAGGAGTGCGGGAGCTTCCGCCGTTAGCCTGGAGGGTCAGAACCCCGGGTTGAATTCGAGACTTCGGGGGGTCCAATTCCGAAGATCGCAGGAATCCAAGATCACGGTTGGAAGACAAAAAGACACCCCCGAAAGAAAAACGCGACGGGGTTCTGAGAATCCGGGGTCAACACTACTTCCCCTGAAAGAAATAGAACTCACTTGATGTGCCTGCATGTGCCAAGGTGAGTATTGGAAAATTGGGGCTTGTCCACTGCCCAATGTAGCAAGGTGTGGTTCCTCTCTTTGAAAGACAAACCCCCACCTGAGGAGCGCCCAAAATCCAATTGACATTTGGTTCGGTGGATACAAGGGTTTGCATAGGCCTTCGTATAACCTCACAAAAGCCAGGTAGTGACTCGAAGGGGCCTTCCCAATTGGAATTTTGGGCGCCACGCCCCTCTGTACTCTTGCTCAGATGGCTCTGCTGATTTGGCCAAGGAG